GTGAAAAAAGGAGATGAAAGTAGTGGTGGTGGTGTTCGTCATGGTGAGGAGTGATGGTGGTGGACCAATGTTCGACGTTGTGGAGTTGTGATGGTGGTGAGTGGGGAGGTGAAGTATGCTCTACTAAGGTTTTTGCAAGTCTAAGTGAGTGAAATACTAAATGAGAATGAGCGTGAGTGAGTGAGTAGAGTATGGAGGTAATGCTAAACCTTAATGCAAAACAACACAGTTTTGCATAGGTGTATTGATTCAGATGGATTAGGCCATTATGGTATCTGCGGTCCATTGCTATCTGAGTCCGCCTATTTAAATCGATTGAATCCAAATCTATCATCCATTGAACCGTTTAATTTGAACCCCGTTTTCAATTTATTTTATTTAGTTTTTTACGGTTTGAATTGGGTTACGAGTTCTTGTCTAAAATATTTCTCACCATTTGATTTATGAAACTATTCTTCCAACTATTTTAATTTTTGGCACTTCATTCCTTCTCTTCTTTGTTTCTTTTAATGTGCTCATAAAACTTAATACATAAATTTTAGTTTAACTCCCAAAGAGGGACGGATCTAGGTTGTGTTAATTGGGGGATATTTGCCCCTACTAGTTTAGTTATTTTATATTAAACAATTAATTATTTTAATTTTTCTTAAAAATTAAATATTGCCCCCATAAAATGAATTAATTAATTTTAATTATAAATAATTAAATAAAAATAATTTAAAAGATAAGTGGTTAAAATATTATTTGACCACATACACATAAATATATATGTAATAATATTGAAAATTAAAAAAAAAGAAAACAATTATTCTGAATATCTAACTTAAAGATTAATTTGTTGTTTGAATAACTATTATTATTTTATCTTTTTCAATTTTTTGATGTAGTACTCTAATGGCAACAATCACGTACTAAATAAATTAAATTCACAAGACAAATATATATTTATTTTAATAAATTTGGCAAAATATTCTTCTTGGTCCCTTAACTATACCTCGGGGTTCATTTTGGTCACTTAACTTTAAAAAGTTCTATATTGGTCCCTTAACTCTTCAAACGTTCCATATTAGTCCTTTTTGACCTATTAACAACGGAAAAAAATCAAAAAACCGTCGCTAAATCCGTCGCTAATAGGTCAAAAAGGACTAATATGGAACATTTGAAGAGTTAATGGACCAATATGGAACTTTTTAAAGTTAAGAGACCAAAATGAACCCCGAGGTATAGTTAAGGGACCAAGAAAGATATTTTGCCAATAAATTTTTATGCAAAAATTTCTAATATGCCGTATGTAATATTTAAAATATGTGTGTTTCATTTTTCACATGAAAAGTATCTCACTTTTATATTTTTCAATGTTTTGAAATAATTATCTCTTAAAAATATGGTACAGTATTTATTATTATTTTTTATTACTATTTCTATTATTTATTAACTTTAATTTAATTCAACTATGTTATTTACTACAATTAATAAACTTATTTTTGAAAATAATATTGATTTTTATATATATATATATATATATATATATATATATATATATATATATATATATATATATATATATATATATATATATATATATATATATATATATATATATATATATATATATATATATATATATATATATATATATATATATATATATATATATATATATATATATATATATATATATATATATATATATATATATATATATATACTATATGATTTTTTTTAAATCTATATTGCTTAAATAAAATATTATTTATGAGGTGAAGGAGGATGATTTCGTCTCTACTAATTAATATTCTTGAATCCATCATGCTGCCAAAGATACTTAGTTACTTAGTTTGTAAGGCTAAAGAAAAGTTGGAGGAATAACGCAAAGATAAAGAGTGATGAGTAAAACTAACGCAGATCACAAAATTTATAAGAGAATATTATTCAACTTATACTCTCATACAAGTACACACTGTTACTCAACAATTGGAACAAGTAAGTGTCAGAACAAATGACTCACTTTTCTCGAAAGTTCATTAAGTTTGATTTTTTCGGTAAGATAAGAAAAAACTAGTCAACATATGAAAACAAGTAAGAAAAAAAAAAACAGCACCTTTAATTATTCGTGTTCAGCTAGCATTGTTTGATTCTCCACACTTATTTCATAAAGAAGCAGAATATAGCATATATAGATTCTAACCACTATGAACACACCTCTCTCCTTGAGACACGTTGAACCATTGTAATATTTTTATGGTGACAAGATATTCAAAAATTTATTTTCTTAAAATTTAATTTATTGTAGATGAAGATGCAAGTGGATAAGGCCATGTTTAAATTTCTTTGTGAAGATATATTGAACCTAAAAGACTAGAAGATGGAAACTATAAATTAAGGCAAGGAATTTATTCTACATCCTTTAAAAAAATTATGGTGGCGTGCTAGCCATTCCGTAATTATATCCTTAGCTTTCAGAATTTCATTCTTTGCGTCATTATACAGGAATTAAACTGTAATTTAGATTAATTATAATCCTAAATTGATCATTCTAGTGAGGATATACCTAAACAAAATTATAAAAGTTTCATATCTACTTACAACATACTCGTTAGCACAACGTTTTTATTAATTGATGTATTTTTTACATATATTTGAATAATATAGAAGATGGAGGGAGAAGTTACATATATAGTTATTAGTTAATCATATACTAATTAATTTAAAGATAAAGAATAATATATTATATTGGTTTAAAAATTCGCATATATTCTTATGGGCCATAGTATACTTTACGACAAATATTTTATTGTACCCCGTTAAGAAAAATAAATGATGAGAAATAATGTGTGACTTGTAGGGATGACAAACAAATTCGGATCCACCCGTATCTGTCCGGATCCATCCGAACCAGCCCCAAAATTAATGGAGAAAATCTAATTGAGTTTGGGGGCGGGGGCAGGTGTGTTACATGGAGGCGGGTGCGAGTGCGAGTGCCGGTATAGTTAAATCCGCCCCCGCCCCGCCCCGTTGCCATGCCTAGTGACTTAATAGAAAAAATAGAAAATAAAAAGTTACGTATTTAAAATATATTTTAAGTTGTTTATTTATAAATATTATCTATTTATTTATATTAATATATAAATATAAATAAATATTATCACTAAGAATGAAATTTTAGACCAATTATTTGTATATTTTTATTCAACTATTAAATTATTATTTTTAAAGAAGTTTTTGAGTTAATTAAGTTAAAGGTGTTTGAGATGTTTGGTTAATTTTTTTTAATGTTGTCTAGTCAAAGAATTTGATGTCCGTTTTTGTCGCCCTAATTTCAAAGGTTGATTCTTCTTTAGAATTAGGTGATTTATGTTTGATTTCTCTTCTAGGTTCTCTATATAAGTTTGTGGCCAAGGTGTTGGCAGCTAGACTCGCAAGGGTGATGGAGAAGCTAATTTTCATTAGCAGTTAGCCTTTGTCAAAATGGAGACGGTTGATGGATGGACTGGGTGGATGAACTGATTGTTCTTAATGAGGTTTTAGATTTGACTATGGTTTCTAAAATAGTGTTTTATGTTCAAAGTGGATTTTGAAAAAGGTTATGAAAAAGTCAGTTGGTCCTTTCTAAATTACTTCTTGAGGAGATTTGGGTTTGATGGTAGGTGAATGGTATGGATTAAAGCTTGTGTTTTTGCGGAGAGTCTCTCTGTGTTAGTAAACAAGAGCCCTATAGGAGAAATAATTATAAAAAACGTTTGAAGCAAGGAGACCTTTTAACTCATTTTCTGTTTTTTTTTTGGTAGTTAAAGGTGATCTTAGTGCTTCTTTAAAGAAAGTCATTTCGATGAGTGTCTTTAAAGGGGTTAAGGTTAAAATTGATAGGTTAAATGTGTCATACCTTTAGTATATTGATTATACTGTTATAGTGTGAGTCCCTTCAATGGACGACGTGTTGACTATAAAGACGATTCTTAGAAGTTTTGAGTTGACTTTAGGACTTAAAGTAAACTTTGCTAAGAGTTGTTTATTTAGTGTTAACGTGGGTAGGCATTTTATGAATCGCCTCAAGGAGTTTTTGCATTGTAAGGTGGCTTTTCTTCCCTTTAAGTATTTAGGACTTTCAGTGGGAACGAATCCAAGAAAGAAATGGACATAGGATTCTAACCATGCACATCCCCACCTTGTACTGCCGTCATAGAGATGAACACCACCGCTTTAGGATCATCGATTCTTCAACTATATTGATTTTTGGTTCATGAGTGGAACACTTAACATATTTATTTATAAATAAATAAAATTTATTAAATAATTAGTTCTTTACTCAAGTAAGGTGAGATCCCAACTATTTAGCGTGTGTTTTTCCATGTGATGCTTGTTGTTGGACCTTTCATCATGGGCTTGATGAGCGGCCCAAAACAATAGAATAAATCAATGAAAAGAAGATTGACGTTTAAGATTTTTGCACACAGATTAAAAATTGTATTGATATTACATAAGACATTACACATTTCCTAATTTAACCTTATAAATATATTGAAAGTAGTGTATAAGATAATAATTAAATGATACAATTAGAAAACCAACAATCATTTAAATATTAAAAAGTAAAAATAATATTAATTTTAAAACGAATTTTATTTGATAAAACAATAATCATTTTGAAAAAAATGTAATATGTTACTACAAAAATGACCATATTGGAAGTCCCTAATATAACAATACTGAGTAAATTTTAAAGGGTGAGAAGTTAAACCCAATAATTTTAAATTTTTCAAGTCTTTCTTAAAACAGTTTTAAAATAAAATTTTCATCCTTCCATAATTTCTTTTAAACCGAATCTTGGTCTCAAAATTTTCAAGGAGTACATTTCCTTTTTCCAATTGCTTGAGCCATAAGCTAAATTTGATTCACCACACATCCTATATAATTCATATAACAAATTTTCTATTCTCCCACATCCAAATAAACAAATCCACAATTCCACACCATCTTCCCCTTCTTTAGCATCCAAAACAATGTATTCTATTGCCAAATTTTCTCACCATAAAGACACAGCCATGAACACCACAAAAAGATACAACCAAATATCCCATTTCAGCCACTCAAAACACAAACTAACATTCCAATACTCCGAATTCCCATTCAAATGTGATGGCTGCAAAGAAATTGGCATAGGCTCACGTTACAACTGCGCCATTTGTGATTATGATCTTCACATGCATTGTTCCATACCATCTCCTTCTCTTTTCCACCCTTTCTATCCAAAATGTTGCTTTCAGTTCCTCTCAAAGCCACCCGGCGACATACCTCGTTACTGTAATGCCTGCGAAAAAAGTGTCACTGGTTTTGTTTATCACTGCTTTTCGTGTGGTTTTGATCTTCACCCTTGTTGCGCAAAGCTTCCAATGATACTTGATGATCACGGTGAAATGAAGTTGTATCTATATCGTAAAGTGAGTTCGTCGTGTCAGCGTTGTGGACAAAAAGGGCGCAGCTGGAGTTACAGGTAAGGATGAATCTGCTAACAAACTTGCTAGAATAAAATTACTTCAAAAAATTATGTTATATCTTTAGCACTAGAAATTTATGTAAGAGTTTTGGCGTTTTTTTTTTCATCTTTAACATAATTTCTGAGTCCGTCCCTGACTACAGGTCGTCGTGTAAGAAGTATAACCTGCATGTGGCGTGTGTGAGGGAGATGATTGTGGAGAGTTGGCATCAGATTTATGTTAGTCAGAGCAATGGAAGAGCAACAACAATGGTTGAGACAAGAGTTCCTCTGAGTTTGAAGAATGGTCTGCACACTGCACAAAATGGTGGGGGAAGAAGCAAAAGTAAGGTGAGGAAGTGTGCTGAGATGGCTGGAATGGCTGTACAGATAGTTGTGTCTGCTGTTTTAGGAGATCCAACGGTTCTTATTGCTGGGATTATGGGGTCATTGATGTCAAGAGCTTGATCTTGTGGTGTACAAATGTCTCCTATTGTCAAAAAATCTCACTCCACTATTCTTGAGAGTATATAGGCCTTTGAAAATTATGTTCAGAAAAAGTGACTATAATCATAAAACATATATAAATGATAGTGATTAGCACAAAGTATATATACTTTCAAGGCCTTGTCACTAAGTTTAATTTGATCTGAAAAATGATCTATGATATATGAAGCATACAAGAATTTATCAAAATGAGTGAGCTTTTATATGCATATTGAAGAATCTGGTTATCAACACGGCTATTGAATCTAAGCAAATTGAATCGGCAACTTCCCCGTTCTCGTTTGATCCGTCTTAGGGGCGAGTAATGGCCAAGATTCTAGATTGTATGGTCTACGAAATCATTAAAATCATAGAACAAACAAGTGGCTCACCAACTTAATCCTCCGCGGAAGAGTAAGATCCATCCAGTCCCGATCGAAGAAAACCAACACACCCGGGTGTCACGAAATTTGGCTTGATGCCTTTCTCATTGCCTTTCATACTATATATAATAGTGTTGGTAATTACAACTCATAATAACTAATTATAGCTGATAATAACTAATTACAATTCATAATGACTAATTTCCTATTCTATGAATGTAAATTATTCACAATAACTGCAAAGATTATTTCCTAATTAACATCCCCCCTCAAATTGATGCGGCTGGTCAAGGAGCATCAATTTGCTAACAAGAAACTGATGTCTTGGGCGTGGAACAGCCTTGGTAAGAATATCTGCAACCTGCAACTGCGTACTGACGTGAGGAAGTGATATTATTCGATCATCGTAGGCGTCACGTATTGAATGACAATCAACTTCGATATGTTTGGTGCGTTCATGAAAAACAGGATTTGCAACAATTTGGATGGCACTTGTATTGTCAGCATAAAGTGAAGTTGACTCTGTTTGGGGAAATCCAAGTTCAGCCAAAAGACCACGAAGCCAAAGTATTTCTGAACACGCAGCAGACATGGCACGATACTCTGATTCAGTAGAAGATTTAGAAACTCTTGCTTGCTTCTTACTTTTCCAAGAGATCAATGAAGAACCAAGAAACATACACCAACCAGTAACAGATCGACGAGTATCAGGACACTCTGCCCAATCAGCATCACTATAAGCGCTCAACTGAAGAGAAGTTCCAACGGAAAAAAATAATCTGCGGTGAGAGGTTCCTTTTAAGTAGCGAATTATACGACGAACTGCAGCCAAGTGAAGATGGCGAGGAGAATGCATGAATTGACTTACTTGTTGAACAACAAAAGATATGTCAGGGCGAGTAATAGTTAAGTAGTTGAGGCTACCCACAAGTTGTCGATACAATAAGGGATCAGGCAACAGATCCCCATCATCACGATGATATTTAACATTAACCTCAAGAGGAGTATCTACTGGATTAGCTGATTCAAGACCGGCCATAGAAATCAAATTTGTAGCATACTTGTGTTGATGGAGAAAGATGCCCTTGGATGTAGAATGAACCTCAAGACCAAGAAAATAATGTAGATTGCCCAGATCTTTCATATGAAATGAGGCCTGTAGCTGTTGCTTAAGTCGCTGAATGGAAGCATGATCCGAACCAGTAATAACCATATCATCAACATACAAAAGAAGCAGAACAATACTCGCAGATGTGCTATGAATAAATAAAGATGAATCATACTGACTCTGAGTAAAGGAGAATACAAGTATAGTGGCGCGGAATTTCTCGTACCATGCTCGAGGTGCCTGTTTCAAACCATATAAGGAGCGTTTGAGCTTACACACGCCTTTAGATGAAGAGAATAAGCCTTGAGGTGGAGTCATATAAATATCTTCTGTCAGGTCACCATGAAGAAAAGCATTCTTCACATCCATTTGATGAAGAGTCCACCCATTAGAAGCAGCTATAGACATGATTGTGCGGACAGTTGTCATTTTGGCAACCGGTGCAAATGTCTCATCATAATCAATTCCATATTCCTGCTTGTTTCCTAACGCAACCAAACGAGCCTTGTAACGATTGAGGGACCCATCAGAATTCAGTTTCACAGAATACACCCATTTGCAACCTATAGGTTTTACATTTGGAGGACAAGTGACGATATCCCATGTGAAATTCTCTTGAAGAGCTTGGAGCTCTTCAGTCATTGCTTTTATCCATCGCACATCTTTAACAGCCTGTGAGTAACAAGTAGGAATAGATATGCTAGAGAGTGTGGCAGTCAGAGAAGTATGTGAGGAATCATACCTGTCTGGTGAATATCTATCTGGTGCGCGGGATATTCGACCAGAACGTCGTGGTTCAACCGGTACAGGATCAGGTGGCAGTTCAGCATCGGGAAGGGGTGTGGGAACCTGTTGTCTGTGTTTTCTGACATATACATGACCTGGTTTATAACGTTCTATAGCTTGAGGAATAATAGAAAACTTAGGAAGAGTAACAATATCATTAATGGCAGGAGAACCGCAGGGAAACATAAACTGATTATCAAAAAATGTCACATTTCTAGAAATGCGAAAATGATGGTTAGAGACATCATAACACACAAATCCCTTATGAGAGTTACTATATCCCATAAATGCACATTGAACGGATTGTGCTCCAAGCTTATGCCTTTCAAAAGGAGGTAAGTGAACAAAACACACACACCCAAAAGTATGTAAAGCACTATAATCAGGATGAATTTTAAATAGACGGAAGAAAGGAGAATCAAGATCAATAACTGTAGAAGGAATACGATTGATCAAGAAGACAGCCGTGTCCACCCAAAATCGGGATGGTACAGAAGCTTGGAGAAGTAAGGTGCGTGTTACATCAAGCAAATGACGATTCTTACGTTCTGCCGTGCCATTTTGTTGAGGGGTATTGGGACAAGACCGTTGAGACAAGATGCCTTTTTGTTGAAGGTATTCCTGAAACTCATGAGACATGTACTCACCACCAGAGTCAGATCGAAAATTTTTAACACTTTCTTGAAATTGAGTTTCAACATATGTCAAATATTTCTTAAACATAGAAAACACTTCGGATTTAGAACGGAGAAAATATATCCAAGTAAAACGACTATAATCATCAATAAATGTGACAAAATATTTATAGTGAGCATGAGAAACCACAGGAGACATTCCCCATACATCACTATGAATCATCTCAAAACAAGTGGAAGCACGATTAGCACCAGACGGAAAAGGAAGTGTCTTACTTTTAGCCAATTTGCAAACAGAACATGAAACAGAGGCATCAGGAATAACATTTTTATTTCCCAACAAGCCACTTTTACATAAATGAGACAAAACAGAAGAGTTTGGATGACCTAGTTTTCTATGCCAATCCTCATAGGAATTCAAAACATTATGACAAGCAAGAGACAAATGATTAGAAATAAACTGTATTGGAAACAATCTTCCCACTTTAGGCCCCTTCGCGATCACTTTCCCCGACACCTGCTCCTGCACAAGACAACCAGATCGAGAAAAATTAACATTACAATTATTGTCCACCAATTGACCAACAGACAATAAATTAGAAGCAAGTCCAGGTGAGACAAGCACATTCTGAAAATCCGAGTTTATGTCCCCAACTTTAGTGATAGACAAGGTATTACCATTAGCAATCTGAATTTTCTGATTACCATGATAAGAATGTAAATTGTGCAAGTTTTTAGATGAACCTGTCATGTGATTGGATGCACCAGAATCAATAAACCATGGACGAGAAACATGAGAAGACTTACCCTTAATACCCAAGGCTGAAAGGGCAGAAAGTACCATGTGTTGAATCATTTCAGGTTGTAGAGCATTACCATCTGATGCACCAGTGGTGGAAGAGCCAATTGTATGGCCTGTAGTGGCATGAAATGCCTTCACCGAATGATGTGCTGGTCGTGGAGGACGCGTGGGACAGTCAGAAATGATATGACCTTGTTGTTTGCAATAATTACAAAACTTCTTACTGCAGCTACGAGCAATATGTCCAAACTGTTTGCAAGAAAAACATTGGACATGTTGCATATCACGACCTTTATTTCTACTTTGAGCAGCATATGCAATTGCCACAGGCTCAGAACTGACAGTATCATGAGACATGGTTCCTTGAGTAAGGAGACGTTGTTCCTCCCTGAGAAGTTCACCAACACATGTATCCAAAGAAGGAACAGGATTCCTATTTAGCAAAGCACCTCTGACAACCTCAAATTCTAGACGAAGCTTCATGAGGAATTGATCTCGCCTACTTGTGTTGTAGACCTCTTGAACAGCCGCAAGAGAGGTCTTGGGAACATTAGCATGTATAATAGCAGAGTGTTCTGCCCAAAGATTTAAAAAACCAGAATAGTATTCTTGAATAGACAAATCACCTTGTTTGTAGTTGGCGATGTCTAACTCCAACTGAAAACGTTTTGCCGAATTGTCCTGGTTGTAAATGCGCTTCAGATAATTCCACATTTCTTGAGCAGTTGAAAAAGAACGCAAATTATTTATCATCTGAGGATCAATACTGTTTAGAATCCAAGTGATAATTTGAGCATCTTTAGTTTCCCACGCATCTAAAGCAGTTTTCTCTGTTGGTGCCTTAGAAACATCATCTAAGTGACTCCATAATCCCTTTCCTTTAACATACATCTTGAACTGAAATTCCCATGCCGAATAATTCTTGCCGGTAAAACGAACACAAAAATTATCTCTTTCTTTTTCGGAAGCCATCTAAATTATTAAACCACCAGATACAATCTCACTAATATTATTTTATTATTATTATAATAATAATTATAATAATAATAATAATAACTATAATATAATAACAGTAACTGTAATCACAGTTACTAGATCAGCAACAAGAAACAATACCCACGAACCAACGAACAACAGCACGATCAAATCCACGATTTGGAAGGAGCGGCAAAACAGAAGATTATGACGATCCAGAATCACGAAGCAACAACAGCCAAGAACAAAAAAAAATGATTGCAATATCAGCGCAACAACGAGAATCTCCAAGA